CCGGATAATAATTCAACTTTTCCTCACAACGCACTGCCCCTAGTCACATAAAAAAGCCTTTAGCCAATTGTATATAGCATTTTAGATTTCGATCAGTACTAAGTAAATGTAGGTGGAAATTAGCTATTATTTGGTTAAGTAAAGTAGGTAAATGTCAGAGTGTGTTTACTTTATGCAATGCAAATACTGGGTGTATTAGAAGTAGAGTACTGCATCATATCATATCAGAAAGTCATTTTTAAAAGTAGCTAGTAACTATGAGTGTAAAGTAAATAGAAGTGTATAAAGTGTAATATTTTCCCCCAAAGGAGTCGAAGTATTAAGGGGCAGAAAATGGACATACTAAATTAAAGTACAAGTATGACAAAATAGTACTTGAGTAAATGTACTTTTAAAACTGACTGAGAGCCACCGAGTGCTTTTACTTTATGTAATACTTATTGAAATACTCTGTATATTAGTACGAGAGTACTGCATAATATCAGTACATTGTTGTTGTTACTTTAAGTGGAGTAAAAAGTACAGTAAAATAGCCAAAAATATTTAAAATAGTAGCTTAAAATAGAAATACTCAACTACAAGTAGGACAACATTTTATTTGAGTAACTGTTTTATATAGTCAATACTTTTTTCTTTTACTACTGTTGTTACCGGCAGCTATTTCATTACTTGTATATTTAAGCAACAGCTCACGACAGGCCGTGGTATATGCTCATTATATCACAGCTAAGGGGCGTGGTTCGGCCGACGCTATTGAAGTGAGCTATTGCTTTTATAAAACGGTTACCAAGTGTGGCAATATGAAAGAAAAATACACAGTCCAATTTAAATAGCTTTTATTAGTAAATAATGATGATCAATACAAAATAGTCCCTCCATTGGACAAAACATAGTGCGAGGTGGTTGCTATGCAACAACACTAACAGCTAGCGAACATATTAGACAGAGAGCGTTGATCTATTATTTATTTACATTAATGTGTATGTTGCCGTTTATTGTGCAGCCACTGAAAAACCGTCCAGCATCAGTAGCATGGCTTACGTGGTCGCTTGTATAGGTTGAGGTTGTTCTAAGCCAGGGGTGGGCAAACTTGTTGGCTCGGGGCCACGATGAGTTTTAAAATGTAACAGACGGGCCGGGCCAGTAGCAGATCGGTCTTTACTATAATTTGGACAATTTTGTACCATTATTAGGCGGGCCGGATTAAAAAGCCCAACGGGCCTTAAATGGCCTGCGGGCCTTAGTTTGCCCATGCCTGTTCTAGGCTGTTGCTTGGCGTGGCGAGAATATTGCTCCACTTTCTCCGGTCCCCGAGATTGGGCTTCCAGTAGCTCTGGAGAGAGCTTTCGCACCTGTGGCCACTAACGGTCATAATTTCTCTGCTTTGTTTAAAGACCCGCATCAGAAAGCTTTTGAACGGTGGTACTTTTCCAGTTGGTCTACCTGCTCTTCACGTAGCTCTGCATGTCGTCGTTTAGGCGCTTTCTGGAGATAGGCACTGCTTAATCCACTCCTCCATAGTAAGACCCCCCCGGAGGTCGAAGTTAACCTTACATGTTTGTTAGTTTCTTTGTTAGTTAGTTAGTTTCGTAACGGACGCAATGTAACAGCTGTAACGGTTGTAGCTGTTTCTCAGACGCGGAGGGATACTGACTTGTTGTGAAAAGTAACTACGATTCTACCCGTGATATACGCTCATTACATCACGGCTAAGAACCAATCAGATTGCTTGATTTGACTTGTCCGTTTTATAAGTCACTGTTATAATGCAGCTACTTGTTTTTTCTACTTTGGATGTGTACTTATTTTGACTTTATGAACACGAGCTTGCTTCTTTAGTTATTATGTGTCTTTATCTGCACTCTACCCTTTGCTGTAAACATGTTAATGTCCTCGCTGTGGGGCAAATAAAGGATCTAGGATGAAGTAAATTTGCTTAGTTAAATTCCACCATTGATTGTTGACTTCTTCACAGGTCATGCTCGGGTTATAATCAGGTGTTTTGAATAACCTGTTTGTCCCCATAGAGAGAGAGCGCCTCACGTAACCCTCCCGTCCTGAAAATGCTTAACAGGACACTTTGAAGACCCGCCCCTTTATAGTTGAATCATCTCAAATCTTTATTTATTTAGATGGCACATTTAAAATAACCTCAGTGGACAAAAGTGCTGTACAGGGAATACATACAATATGAAATAACACAATGGGAGTACAATAATAAAACAAAATCTAAAAATATGAAAAAAAGCACAATAACTAGAAACATAAAAACACATACAAATGTAAAAATGTTATGTTCAACTAATATTAAAAGCCAGTGCAATGAGTATCAGTTAGTTGTGTTGCACTGTTGGAGGCGCCTGTTACCTAAGACTTTCATTGTCATATCTGCACTGTAGCTATGCACATGAAAGCCTTGAAACTTGAAACTCACATCTCTTCTGCAGCAGGATGATGAGCAGACAGGTGATCACCTTCAACACCTCGGCCATCACCACCGCCGACGTGGTGAAGAATCGGTCGCCGGGCAGAGTTCGCACGTACCGGATACTGAGGATGAGCGACGCATTCTGGACCACCAGCACCGCTAGACTGATGTACTTCAACTTCCTGTTCACTGCAAGAAAACACAGAGAAAATACCACCATTAAAACCACCATCTGACAACATGATCTGTTTCTTAGTTGAAAACTTGGAGCTGATGTCCAGGTGTATATCAGTATGTAGTGTCTCTACTTTAAAGAGTCCTCTCCTGCTGATGTTCAGGTGTATATCAGTATGTAGTGTCTCTACTTTAAAGAGTCCTCTCCTGCTGATGTTCAGGTGTATATCAGTATGTAGTGTCTCTACTTTAAAGAGTCCTCTCCTGCTGATGTTCAGGTGTATATCAGTATGTAGTGTCTCTACTTTAAAGAGTCCTCTCCTGCTGATGTTCAGGTGTATATCAGTATGTAGTGTCTCTACTTTAAAGAGTCCTCTCCTGCTGATGTTCAGGTGTATATCAGTATGTAGTGTCTCTACTTTAAAGAGTC